AACCGATCAAGGCTACGCAGTTATGCTCAAACACCGTTTCCCTCGCGCGGCTAAGACCAGTGTAGGACTAGTCACATCCAATCAGTTGGCAGCACAATTGCTGGCAGTAGAAGACAATGTAGAGGTAGCAGTAAGAGCCCTATTTCATCACGCACTCTCAGCCCTCTGCGACCGGACCAATCTCCTAGCCCTCGCTATTCACGCTTCTTTAGCCAACGATCCTACTTTCACAATACGTAACTTACTGGGCCGTCAAGACGTTGCAGCTACGCATTTAGGGAATGATCTCGTACAAATCCACAGATGTCTTGCAATTCCACCCAGCCATTACGCCATTTCCCCGTTCAACGGTACTTGTTTCTCCAAGCCCATCGTTCAAATATCCCTCAATAGCGGTACTTCTCTGCAAGCATTCATTGATCCGTTCACTCGTGTTATTTCTTACGAAACTCCAGTGGTACAATGCTCATCGGTTCCGCAGTTCTTCTTCGTTCACGATTCACAGTACTCCGAATTTGATCCCTTTTCTGGGCACTTTCGCTCGTTACCAGACGTTCAAACTATCACTACTCCACCCCATCTCAATACGTCCTTTCTGGCCCTTCCGCTAACAATCTTTCACAACCTGGTACTCACTAATCTCTCGGAGCTTACGCAAGACTATCAACTGCATGAGCTTTGGACAGCTGTTAACCAAGAGCGACTTCTCCATTTGGACAAATCTCTAGCCTCCAATCCTGCTTACACATCTTACACCGAAGAACCTTCTCACTTTTCGATAACAGCCCTTCTCTTCGGGTCCTGGTCTCTTTTCGACGTTTGGATTGCCACATGTTCCTTTGTGGTTTCCTTTGGCATATTGAAGACTCTTTTATTAGTATACTGCAATGTCGCCTACCCGGGCTGGCAGCCCCGACTTCGTAACATTCTTAAAGCCGCGAGCATTCCAACTAACCAAGTCTCACTACCGTATGCTCCAACCCGAATTGGAAATAGTGGGAGCGAACAGCGAAATCCTCCTTCAGCACTCGAACAAGTAGAATTAGCCCACGTTGCGATCGATGCTAAATCAGTATGGCCCCCTCGAGCCACCCTAGCGCCTATTAACGTTCTTGTATTTGACAATATGCAGCGTTTCTTTATAGCGCAAATCCCCATTAAAGTCAACGATGTCAGCATACTAGCCTTAGTGGATACGGGTGCCGCAATCACAGTAACTTCTCGCGCTACAGCCCCGTTACTAGGTGTTTTCAACTTCAATAAAAGCGATGTACCCTCTGCAGTCGGTATGGCAGGCATTCCAATAAAACTCCTTGGCGTGGCACACCTTCGCTTTCAAATTGGCTCATTCACTTTTCATCATCCGGTTTACTTCACCGAGTCTTCATGCGTTCCCCAATCCGTGGAATCGTATAATATCATTATGGGCAACGATCTATTGTCTAGACTTCCCCCGTGGAGTATCGATTATAGTAGCAAAACTTTTTCCTTAGCCGATCAGCAGGTAAGCATTCTCTGCTCTTCGCTCTCATCGTCCCAATCTACTGTTAACGATGGCCCGATTCCAGTACGCGTTGCAGAGACTACGGTGCTCCCACCGCAGGTCGAGACCTTCGTCCCCTGTGAAAGTACCGCACCTTGCGATCAGCTTGTTCTGACATCTCAGGCCGATCCGCTTACCGCTAAATCACTCATGGTCAGCCCGGCAGTCATAAATACGGGTAAAGCTCAGGTCCTCGTTGCCAACCCTAACTCTTCATTTATAACTCTTTATAAAGGTCAACAGATATCCCTAGCGTCTGCGATGCACAATCAAAACGGGTACCAATATGACACGCAATGTTCCTAGCACCTTCCCTACGGTAGCACTAACCAAGGCGG